CATTTTGATAAGCTGATATTAAAATGGACTTTCTTATGGGGAATGTTTCCCTCTGTTTCCTTTGCCTGGTGGTGGTTTGCATGTAAGTACTGAATCCATTTAATCCATTTTAGAAGGTTCATTGAAATGTCTCCTCTGTGTGAGAATTAGGTATGTATATATAGATTTCTGTGTTAGAGAACAGCAACAAAATAGGCCAAGATAATTTTCTTTCCTCAGCTGGTTTAAACTGAGCTTAGAAGAGCCACACAGTCTATGTTTTTGGTTCTACAGAAGGCACGTGGAAGCCAAAACCATGCATAGCAGCACCCCAAAAAAGGTACTGTGTTCCCTCTGCAGTCCTTCTACATAGGTATGGCACAGAAGGACAGAGGGTGGGAGGTGAAATACGGAGCAGCAAGGTACCAGAGTTTGAGGGAGGAAGGACAGGAGGATATTAACCACAAGCTGTTTGTTTACAACTTTTAACACTTAGATTTTGGAAAAGATGGTATTTTGTTTGTGAGTGCTGATGAGCTTCGGTCTTGCCTCTCTTTATTTACTTTATGAGTTGTGAAGTTGGAAGGATGGAAGTTCTGGCTACCAGCTAGATTCTTGGTTTCGGCTGTGGGGCTTTTTTTCCCCCTAAAAGTTCTAATAACAAAATGGTTTGGTGTACATATGCAGGCAAATCAGACCTAACCGGCTACACCTAAAATTAAGATAATACTGCTATTGGGAGATTAATGACATCCTGCTTGAATGAAATGGCCATGTCCGGTTTTTAAAAGATGGAGAACCATAACATGATACAAGATCATAGTAATTAATAGGCAGGATTGGCACAAGGATTAGTAAACAGAAGCATGAAGAAATCTCCCCTCTTTTGTTTGTCAAAGTGATGTACTTTCATGAAAGTTATTGAAGGTTGTTGATAATTACAGAGAGATTTAGTCTGGATAAGCTCTTGAAACTTCAAATAGAAATTGGGATCTTATTGAATCCTGTTCACTCCTTCACCAACCGTACCTTCCCTGGGGTTTGCAACATCTACTTTCTGTGTGTTGTTCATGGATGTGATATTAATGCTGCTACTATAAGATTGCCTAACCTGGGCATAAATATGAAATAAATCAATTGACAGCAATTGGTGTCACCAGGATTCTCATACTTGCCTCACTGGATTATGATCTGCTAATGGGGTGGAAAACTGGAGACACTTCATAGTTACATGTTGAGACAAATTTCTTAAATGAAGAGGTGCGAATTGAGATCATACTTTAGAATGACTTGGCTTTTAATTAGCATATTGATTAGTTCCTAACAGTTAACAGCTTTTATGCAAGAGACTTAAAGTTGCTGTATGTTACATAGATAGATAAACAGTAATAGAAGGAAAGCTCTGAACAAGAAATTTGGGTGAAAAATAATATTATTCCCAAAGATGGTTTTGTTTGTCAGTTTGCTAAGGCATGTGCCTGGAGTCTTCTGCAGCCAAACTTTGCTTTTATTTGGACAGTTAGTGTATGGACCAGTGATCTATTACACGTTTGTACATTTGTTTGAATTCATGTTGGATCAGTAGCAGAAACAACTTGTTTTCTTGGGGCTCTTCAGCCTGGAAAAGAGAAGGCTCCGGGGTGATCTTATCGCAGCTTTCCAGTACTTAAAGGGGGCCTACAGGAAAGCTGGAGAGGGACTTTTTACAAGGGCGTGTAGTGATTGGACGAGGGGCAATGGCTTTAAACTGAAAGAGGGCAGATTTTGGTTAGATATAAGGAAGAAATTTTTCACTCAGAGGGTGGTGAGGCACTGGAACAGGTTGCCCAGAGAAGTTGTAGATGCCCCATCCCTGGAAGTGTTCAAGGCCAGGTTGGATGAGGCTTTGGGCAACCTGGTGTAGTGGAGGGTTTCCCTGCCTATGGCAGGGGGGTTGGAACTAGATGATCTTTGAGGTCCCTTCCAACCCTAACCATTCTATGATTCTATGATTCTTTCAGGTAAAGCCACAAAGTTCAAAATAAAGTGGTATTTTTATTCCTTAGAATAAAATTATGCTTAAACCTGCAGTTGTCCCATCACTTTAACTTGGAATAGCTGGAGCTTGCTGCTGGCAGAGGTGATACTTTCTTTTCCATAAGCTGCAAGTTCCTGTGGCCTAGGTTTTGAAACAACTGTTCTGGTGGGATAGATCCAGAAAATAACACCACCAATCTCAAAAGTTCTCAGTCAGACCAGTTCCCTTATCCAGTGTGATGCTTGGAAAAATGAACATAAAGTGCCAGAGCAAGGGCATGCAGGATATTGAGCCTTTAGGAAGGTACTGCTCTTTTTGGTGGCAGGCTGTGTTCATACCAGCTTCCAATGACTTTAAGCCAAAGGGTGAAATATTGGCATTGCTATATAATTAGAAGGAATCTGTAGATTGACTAAAATGAGGCAGAAATTGAGGTTTTGGAGACCTAAGTACTGGCATGAGTTAAATTTAAACATGTCTTGAAAACTTTATGTTTGTGGTATGTTATTTTATAGTAGCTTAGAGCACTTCAGATAATGTCGAAATATGTGTCTGAGAATTTAGCAAATGCTGTTCTAAGTCTCTCACACGAAATATTAAGCAGTAGTACCTGAGACAGTGTGAATTTCTTGAGAGAGCAAAGAATCTCAACATGCTCTCCAAATACTAACAATGATCAAAACTAAGATGGTATTTCTTGAGTGATATATTGTCAACATTATTCACCTGATTGTGTATGATAGATTTTGACTGATGACAATTGATTATACATTCTACATGTTTAATATGACCTTGAAGCAGTTTCGTTTCTGAAAATTGACTTTGCAGAAATACTGCTTTATTACTCTTGCTTACAACCTGGTTGTATTCAAAAGCATGTTTGTAATAGTGATAAAATAATGGGTATCAAAAGTAAGATAGATGTTGCTATGAGCTCTACCAAAACAATTGAGTCGTGTAAGTCCCACATGAAGGCATAGCTTGAATGCCACTGGACTGCTGAAGGATCAGTAAGACTGTAGTACTCAAACAGTGAGATAGGACAGAAATATTTTGGCTTGCGTGTGGGTATGTCAGAAGAGAATTCAGCTTCTTCCTGTCATTCTAAGGTGAGTTTGTAGGTCTGGCTGTTAGATTTTGTTTTTTTCTCCCCATATTTAATTTGGTAATCATTTGAAAGTGATAAAAACCACAAAGACTAGATTTAAACTGCTTCTCAGGCAGAATATTTGTATGTAGAGCAGTCTACTGAAAATTAAATGATTGTATTTCTATTACTCTTACATTCTGTGACAGTTTTTTCCATTGAAATGAAACATTTTCACATTCATACACACAATAGAAGCAATAATTTCAAACAGACTAGAGACAGTCCAGAAGAAGAACTATGCACTCAATAGTCTTTTTTCCTTCTAGAAGGCTGTTTAAAATGTCCTAGATAAGTTATTGAAGTACTGACTTTCATATATAAAATCAAGAAATTGCAAGTTTTCTGTTACATTGTGATTATATATGTGATTTTTTGATTTGGGTTTTTTTTTCCAAATAGAAAGTGTTTGATCTTTTCTAGAGACTTTCATTTTTGATGTGTCTATTTTACAAACGGAATTTAATCTCTTAGCCACAACTGAGGCCATAAAATTTTGTTGTTACTACTTTGTTTATTACTACTTCAGTAGTCTTATTAATGTTTTATTTTTTAAGAACGTTGCTTGGAAAGCAGAAGGAAAGCGAGCCCAGATTTTTGACTGCCCAATATAAACGTGCCTTTGCTTCTAATTGCTGAAATCTGAAACCTATTCTTAAAAAGGTTTTGGAAACCGATTTCTATTTGTAGCTGAGGACTGTTACCTCTTAGCAGACAGCAACTGCAGACATCTCCCAACTTCTCTGTGTTTAGATGACTCTCTGAAAAACAAAACATATTTGACTATTTTACTAGTTGTTAAAAGAAAACATAGACATTAGTTAAATGATTTGCTACTTGTTGCCTTTCCTTGGCTTGACACCTGAAGAATTTTAGGGATACTGTGTGAAATTACAAGAATACTGAGGACAACGGCAGCTTGGGATATTTCATTGATAAGATGCTACATTCCTATTTTATCACACTGGGAGAAGTTAGCTATATTGTTGCTCATCCTTTTATGAAACAATTTGGGCTTGTTTTTTTCATCTCTGAAAGAAAGATACTTATATTTTTTCCAAGATAATGATTCCACAGAGAAGATTGCCTTGTTATGGGTTAAAAAAAGTTTTCAGATAGAGGTAGCATATTATTTTCTGTTACAAGGTTTGACAGTGTAACACAAAGAGGTGCACTTACAGTTTTGTGCTACTAAATTTACACGTAAGTCAAATGTATGGTAAAGAAATGTACCAGAAACTCCTGACATCTATACGCTCTCATGAAGTGTGAACTTAATGCCCTATAGCACTTCTGTAACTCTGGAGGAATAATTATGCCCAAGTATGGTAGCTTTAATTGCATTGAACACTTGAAATAGCATATCTGTAGAAGATTTACACGGGAGTATATTATGGAGGTATCTTGCCTGTTATTGTCAACGGCTGCACTGTACACTAAGAAGCAATATAAACCAAACTGTTATTCCATTCTCTTCTGCAAATGTCAGATGACTGAAATAATTTTAGCAGAGTTGTTTGAAGTCTTACTGCTGAAGTTACGTGGGCTTCCTTGAGTTAAAGTTGCCCCTCTTTTCTGTGATTCAAGGGCCTAAGTTCTCTTTTTTTTTCCCCCCGAGCTTGAGTAGTGTCAACAATTTCAATGCGTAAAGATTTATTGCTAAAATTGTAGAAGACTGAAGATGATAGCAGTGAAATCCTGATTGTAGTTTCAGCTCTTACCATACAAAAATATTTGGATGCATTTGACTACGAATGATCACCTTTACATTTACAGTTTCTTTATGGTGAATGGCAGTGGCAATTGTAAACCAAAACTTTTTTCATACATTAAAATTGTTTCCTTCTGTCTTTGAAGGTTACAGAAAACAGATCAGACCTTGAAGATTTACACCTTTATGCAACTCCTCGGGAGCAACGGTTTCGTAGGTTTGCCAGTTTAGAATTTGAAGGACAGCTATATATGACTCCATATGACTTCATTCAGGCTGTCACAAATGATGAACCCAAACGTAAGCAGGAGTTTTATATTGATAAAATTGCTAGGGAAAATGCCAGTGGTGTATGCTATTTTTCCATTTGCTTTTGATTACTACTTCGGTTTCTGATTGTGGTAAAAAGGTACTGAATTTTATTTTTAATGATGTCCAGGTGCATATGTAGATATCTGTATAATCATTAGTTAAACATTTAAACATTCTTGTCTTAGAGGTCACAGACAGCTCAACAGGCCTGAAAGACAAGAAGTTAATTTGTACTGTTTGCATTGACATGGTTACAGCTCTGGTTTCTTTCTGAGCAGGCTAGTGCTGCTGTGAAACTCTTACCTCCTCCTCTGTGTACTTTCTGTGTAAAGAGGCAGGCAAGATATAAGTTTGCTAAGTAATTTAGTATAACATTGTTTTGCAAATTTTGCCATCTTAAATTGTCATCTGCTATCATGTTGGGTTTTTTTTTGCCCTACAGAGATTTTATAACCGTATCATGGCTTTCCAGATAACGTGCTCTGAGTAAGAGTTTCAGTCCCCCAGGGGATCCACTTTCCACACTTAAAAGTTGCCAGAGAGTTAACACTATGTGTTAATTAAATTAATGAAAAATAAACTATCAACTTTAGTTCACTTATTTTAACATTTTTGCTTTAAGTATCAAAGAGTGACTAAATAGTAAGGTGAAATATTACAATGCATTTCTGATCCATTTTGATTTCCTGGCCCTCAGGCTTGCAGTGCATTGGTAGCAGCACACAACTTCTGGGGAAAGTGTATCTTTGCTCAGGTGTGACATGTATAATAACTCACCTTAGGTCTTTCTTCCTAACATGTACATCACAAAGCTAATATAGAGAACAGTCAGAAGTAGCTAAAACAATCAGAAGAGAGCTTAAGGCTCTGTGCATATGTTACGTTTTCCCCCTTTGTTCTCTTAACAGTAATCAAACAAGATCACAATTCAGCCATGGCACATCAGTGATCAAAACTTCTATAACTTTTGAATAAAGATTTGATCTCATTATAACAGTGAAGGCAGAAGACAGAGATTAGATGGTGAAAACTTGTAAAACTTTGAAACTCTTACCAGAAAGCAAATCTTCGTTTTCTTTTTTGCTCTGCAGTTAAAAGAGAGGAAGCAGATTCCTTATCACAGAAGCTAATACAAATACACATTAGCACTTTATATCTATTTTCTCTGCCCAGATCTCCAAGTCTTCCTTTTTTTTTGTTACTGTGGAATTGGGTTTCAGCATGTATGATCTTGAAGCATTTGTGCCATATACCGGAGATCAGTTAAAAACCAGTTAATTTTACCTCCATTTTATGACAGTTTGACTGGTCTGAACACGCTTTATGTATGGTTCCCTGTTAAGATTTTTCCATGCTAATGACATTCATGCTTTTTCCTCTCTCACTGAAAGTATTCAGATTTTAAAACAAAAAAAAACAGCACGAAACCAAAAAGTGTTAAGCTCACAAGGACATTCAGCTCTCCTCATGCTAAAGGAGAAGAGATCTGGAGTTGAACGGTCAGGCACCCTTCCGAGCTCAGTGTAGCAAACTTTGTTTGTATCAAAATCCTTCCCATGCATCCAGTTCATCTCTGAGACTGAAAGCAAAACTAACCTGGATGTCCTTTAGTTTTATAGACTGGTATGGTATTAGGAATTACATGACTGAAATAATTATTTTAAGGGATACTGTAAGAGGCTGTAACCGAGTAGAAGTGGATGTCTTCATTATAGTGGAAGTCATATTGTCCGGGATGTTTTGACAGAAAGCTGGCAGGTAGGTAGTAGTAGATGAAGTAGATGACCTGCAGGTATTACCACTTCCACCTTCTGATCTCTGACTACGTTATACTGCAGCTTTGGCCACATACTGCTTTGTCTGTTTGGGCAAGTCTTAATTTTCTGTCTTGCTCTGTTGAAGATAGTCAGTTTAAGGAAAGTATTTTTCTGAACAAAGTAATATGTGCTAAACATCATATTTTGTATTTTCGGATCATTTTGTAAGTTACAAGTTGTAAATAATTGGGTCCATTCAGACAGACCTACTAGAATATCTGTTTTGGAGAAAAAAAAAGAACACTCAGGGTATTTTATGGATGAAGAATAGAAAGGTCTTGAGTTTTGTCAAAAAGCAAAAATGCCCTTTGAAGAGTATTAATAGTAGCTCTTTAGGCCTGCTTTATAGAAAAGCTAATAATACTAGACCTGAATGAGATTTGTGATGGAGTGAATGTGTCTATTGTGATTTATTTACTTTGGAAATCCTGTAAACTCTACAAAAGTCAAGAGGGTGTTCACTTCCTTTTTTGATTAAACACTAACTAATATGGTAAGAATATATTTTCTTTTATAAAACGTAACTTTTAAAACCAGGCAGTTATGATGAAAAATATGAAAAAAATGCTATAGTTAACTTACTGCTTCTGCCTTTATGGTGCAGACTTTCATTTGGGAAAATACAATCTTTTTAAGAATCATGCTTGATACATTTTTATAATCTGAATATATGTTTATATATTTAGCCAATTAAGAGGAAATATATTTTGTTCCCTTTAGCTCTAAGAATAGTAATTTTAGCCTAATGCTGAGCTGTAGAAAGTATGTATACACACATAAATAGTCACTTGGTCATCTAGAAAGAAAATCTATTTAATATATATGAGATTGGGAAATTATCTGATTGGAAAGTTAGATATATTTATTCCTCTGTTTTTGTTTTTGTTTTGTTTTTCTGGTAGGCATAAACATATATCAATTTGTATGGAAAAAGGCTCTTTTGTTGGATTTTATTTAGTATTCTGAGTCAAGACTTGAATTGACATTAAAAAGTTAAACTAAAAAGTATGTGAAAATCTGTTAACTCATGTTATGATGTTGCTTGATACAACTCCACCATAGTTGGAGTGGGATTTGCGGACAGCCTTAGTGCTAACCTTTACCAAGATGTAAAACTAGAATTTTGGTGAGTTTCTAACCATGAATTCATGAAAGACCACAGTGAGTAGCTTCTGTATCATCACAATTATTTAACGGAGCATGAAGTTCATAATGAGAAAGGGATTTCTAATACCACACGGTCTTTTGCTCTATAAAAATGAGCCTTTACCAACCAAAATGTTATGAACACATAACATGTTTGTACCTTTGTGAATTCTGATATTCACAGTGCTTTATCTTAATATTGAATCTGTGCAAATCTGTCTGGAGAGGGTGGTGACAAATATCAAGTTTTGAATCCCTGGATGGATGTGAACAATTGTTGTTGAATGCCAGTATCTCTTTCTGCTCCTGGAGTCTGTCAAGTAAGGTGTTAGGAAGAAAGCAACTGTTCAGTCTTACTCATCATCAGTTTGCAGTGTTAACGAGCAGTTCCAGCTCTGAACTGGAGGCCCTCTTCAGCTCCTCTGTTAAAATTACTTAAAAAAATTGAGCCTGTCAAATGCTGTAAAAGGGAACATCAATCTGAGTTATTAGGAATAGCTGAAAAGAATCTTAGCATCTGGTGGAGTTTCAAGGATTTTTTTCTGTATTGGCTTTAAAAAGTATGAGTGGTCCCTGAAGCAGGGGCCAGAATCCAGGTCTCCCTACAATCTGCATTGTAATACCACTGATTCTATATAATTGTTTCAGAATATTGATACCACAGGTTAGCATGAATGCCCTCTATTTCCTGTTTAGTGTTTTAGTGGTGTATTTTGGAGGTAGAAAGTCTTTTCTCTCACTGAAGTGGAGCTGGATTTAAAACTGTACATCTGAATTGGTTCTTTAAAGTTAGGAGTTTAGGTATGTATTAAGCTAACTGTTTTTTTAATAACATAAAGAGAATTTTTGGAACTAGGTTAAAGATTAGCCTGGTGCAAAGCAGGGAAAATATTTCTTCTTTGGCTAGAAAACACAGTATAGATGCACTTTATTTTTTATGACACCACATTGGCATAACTGAATTCTGTACATTCATAACTTTGTCTTTTGTTGCAGATGCTAAAAAGTGGCGATCCCTTTCAAAGCAGGTGGGCAATAATTCCTGTGCTATCTTATAACCATAGATCTGGCTCCAGTTACTTTCTTACATGATGTAATCTTGGGGTCACAACAGAAAGTAGAGTTTATCCTTATTAGAAAAAACACCCCAAACGCTTTAATTTCTTCTTTTTGCCACTTCAGACACAGTTGAATGAAACTTAGACTCAGAAGCTCAAAGATACTTGAGCAGCTGTGCCTGTTATGTTGGATTTACTGACTTTCTCAAGCCTCTGTCGGTTCCTTCCTCAGCCCGTATCTGACTGAATTTCACTAGTGCCTCAATGTAACAGGTGTATCCAAAGCTACCTGAAATACTCATGCCACTCTCTACCTTTTGTGATGTTGAAGTGCCTCTTACATTTTATTTTTTTTACATTTGTATAACTGCAAGAGGACTCTGTCTGTATCCCTGTGTTTTAAGTACATTCATATTCATGGGTGAAGTTTGCTTTAGTTCAGGTTGAGTGTTTTAAAAGAACAATTGCTTGGAGTTTGTATGAAAACCTTACTGAAATCCAGGGGGACTTATCCTTGGCTTCAGTGAATATGGGCATGGTGAGTAATTTCAGCAAAAAATATGTTACATGTCTCTCTTCAACTCTGCAAACGCTTAGTATTCATGGAGATTTACTCAGATGAGCAATTCTTGGATTAATCATGTGTGCAAAATTTATATATGTGCTTGAGTAATTCCAAAGTCACTGTGGTAGACTGAAGTTAAATTAACTGGTAGATTTGCATGCAGTTCCTTGTCTTTTGTCTTGATTTCCTAGCATTTACTCATAATCTGATAACTACTTCATTAAATATTTAGATATATATCTTTTGTCTTTTCCAAATCTTTTTTTTTTTTAGGAACTGAATCAGATCCTTATGGAGACGCCACCAGTTTGGAAAGGGTCATCCAAACTTTTCCGTAATCTTAATGAGAAAGGTAGGGGATAAGAATTTATTTTCCTGAACCAAATTATTGCTTGTAATAATCTGTTGTTACTGAAGTAATGTACTTTAATCTGAGTCACATCTTCAAGCAGATAAAAAGTGTTTGTTTCCATTTTACGGAGGAAAATGTTCCCTTTAGTCTCTACAGTGTTTTAATCATGTCATCTTACAGCTAGCCTCTGCAAGGGAATTGGTATCTCAGAGTATGTTAAGCTAATGTTTGAATGATTCAAGTTCAATTTGTCTTAATGGCAGTCTTGATTCAGCAATATCTTACTGCAGTTTTCTGCCAGTGAAATTCTACAGAAGTTGATGGAATTAAGAGGACTCAAAACTGGCAGAATAAGTTGGTAAAATTGGTAATAAACTTCAGCACTTACACAGCTTTTTGACATGCTTTACAAAAAAGTGAGTTCTGTTATTTTATAGATAATATAAGAAGAGATGATGAGTCTTAAGACTGATAAGGTCATTCAGTAAGCCAGTGACATGGGTGGGAATTGAATTCATGTCTCCTTCATTCTGATTTAGTGCTTATTTAGTACATGACATGCATACTCCAAGATTAGTTTACTCGTTTTCTTTAAAACATGCACATTTTGATACGGAGCAAGTAACAAAGGCCTATGTCCATTTATTTTGCTATAGATTCATTTAAATCAGATGAGGTACATAGGTTTATACTAGTTGTCCTTAAGTCTTATTTTTGTTTTACCCTTGAGTGAGCTCCATCTCTTCTTTCTGATCTTGGTGTAAGCTTTTCTTTCTCTTCAATCATAATTTCAGAGCCTCTCTCCCATAACACTCAGAGCAATCAACCAGAAATATCTGTCTACAGCTACAATATACCAGTACAAACAACAGGAAAGAAAGCTTTCAAGGCCTTTTGTATTGCTGTCTTCATACCTGTGACAGACCACTTGACAATTGCACTTCCTTCCTCCATTTTACAACAAAGAAGGTGTCATCAAACAAACAAAAATACATATTTACGCTTATTGACTGGCTATTAAAGAACATGTTGCATCACTGCATGAGAACCTTTGAGGTATCTGATTTCTTGATAGCTACTTGTCAAAACAGATTCAAGTAGGCCTTTGAAAACTAATTTCTGCAAGCTGCTGTATAAAATCAAGAAGATAAAGCATAGAGCTTTATTTATTTACTTAAATGCCTGCATTTAATCTTTGCTAATCTTTGGTGTGTAGCCATGTGTAAATTGAGGAAAAGAGTAGGGGTGATATTAAAAATACTTAGTAGCCTTCCTAACTAGATCTACTAGCAGTAGTAAAATCTTAGTTCTAGAGACTTAAATTTTCTCTTGAATCAAAAGATGGGAAAATACTTTTTTTTTTTAATGAGTGAAGTGGACATTGGTAGGGCAGCATTTCAGCTAGTAAAGGTTAAGGGGTTTAGTGATTCTTTCTAGTGTGTGATTAGGTTCCAAAGACAATTTAGTTAACTATCGGTCTTCTGTATTGTATTAACATTCCAGTCTATGGAATATCTGTGAAGATCTCTGTGGTTAGCTATTTTTTACTTTTATTTTTGAGGATGGGAGACATTCTTCTCCGCTTTAAGGACAATTGGCTCTTAGGGACAAGTATTGTATGGCAGAATGTTTGGGGAGGCATTTGGACAGTGGTATCTAAGAGAAATACAGTTGAGATTTTCATATTTCAGCTATTCAAGAGGAGAGAAAGTTCTCTTGAGTATTATTTCAGGACATAATTAATTTAGAACTTTTTGTGCTGTAAATATTAGTAGAAAATGCCAAAGTTTCTTACTTTGGCAGTGTTAGAAGTGTTGATGTTAAATGTATTCAATAAATATAACATCTAAATGGATGATACAATGTTTGAGTTTTAATTTTATAGGTTTTCAGTGAAAAAAAAAAGAGATTACTATTCACACAATTTGTCACATACTCAGTTAAGTCAGATTTTTAAGGGTATTTAAACATCCAAAGATGTAGCTGTTGTTAGGAAAACTTTTGCACCTGACTTGGACTGAAATCAAGGAGACAGCCAGCAACTTTTGGAAATCACAGCTGATAGACATCTTTACTCTTAGTCATCTAAGTATTTTTTTTTTAACTCTTTTGAAACAGTCTAACACTGTGGACTGGCTTAACATTTTTGGTTTTGCAGGACAGACAAAATCAGTTGGTCAGAAATCAGGAACCAGTTTTGCTAGTTTAGCCTTGGAGATTATTAGAGCTAAGGGCCTTTGGGAGAGCTGCGAGTCATTGTTTTCAGTTCTTACTGAACTATAAGATGCTTCTCTTCTGTGGTACTAAGGGCATTCTACAAGGTTATCTCTTCACCCCAGAGCTAGTAAAGCAGAAATACAGCTTAGGGTACCAGACACACTATCCTGGATATTGGCTTCAGCTCTGGTTTAAATTTTGCTTCAATCACTTCTGAAGAGAAAAGGAAGTACCATTCCACGCCATTATTGCCTTTTGACATGTAACAAAAGATGAAAAGCTTAGAATATATTCCTTACAGATCTTCTGAATGTAGAAGAAGAGACAGTACAAATGTCTCTTAACAGGCTTTAAAAATATTTAACAAAATTTACACATTTGTTTAGAAAGAGTTTTAATATAAATTTCAGGTGGTGATTATGAAAATGTGCATATAAAGACAACTCAAAAGCCCAAATCTATGCTTTCATAAGTAACATGAGGCCAAGTTTTCAATTAATATAGGACATGCACTTACAAAGCACATATTAAAGTTAAGAATTGTATTCAAATGGTATATATCAGGAGGGAGCACTATTAACGTTCTCATACTGTTAGAGAGTGTTGTCATGAATTATTGGTGAGATTTTCAGAAAGAAAATTGAATAAATCGTTTATATTAGCTTCTAAGAATCTAGCCAGCTTCTGTTTAATGAGCCATTCTCCACTGACTGTAGTTGTTTATTTGCCATATTTATTGTATTCCTCCCCTAAAATACTCAAAACCAAACCCGAACAAAAAAAAATACCCCACAGATCAGTGTTTTAGACAAATAACTCATTGACCAGGTTGAATACAGTCACATGCACACAAATACGAATATGCATATGCAAATGTACAAAAATTCTCCTTACACATAGATTTCATGTTTCCAGGTTTAGGATGTGAAGACAAGGTGAAACTAATATGACATAACCTTTTTTTTCTTTTTTTTTGTCTTCAGGTGTGATATCTTACACAGAATATTTATTCCTCTTATGTATTTTAACAAGTAAGTGGTTTTGGAGAAAAAAAAAAACCCAAACAAAACTTCCTTACAAATTTCAAAGCTCTAAATGTGTTACTCTACGTTACAATACTCTGGTTTTTTTTTCTGCTTTCCTGTATATCCCAATACGGAAGAAAATGTATCATGTCCATTTGAACCTCTCCCATCCTCCTGGAATCTTGTGTTATGTTTTATTTAAGTGCTTTATTATCTAGAACACCTTTTACTGACTGTTGAGAAAGTTGAGCCATACACTTCACCTAAACCCCAGTTAAGAGCTTAACTTTATTTTCTTCTTGGAAATTCCTACAAAATTTCTAGCTGAATTTACCGAAGTTCATAAAGGACATTGGATAGAGGGAGTAGAGAAAGATAAACATTATTACTAGTTTGTTTTACCTATTCATGCATAATGGGTGACATCAATGAGACAATGATAAACTATAAAATCTGTCAAATTAGAGTAAATGTTTGTTAGGAAACATTAACAAAATTGAATAAATTGAATTCTTCTACCACTCATAAAAACAAAGTTGAAGAACTTATAGCTAGAGTAAACTAAGCCTGATAGAGACTTTGTTTTGATATTTTAAGGGGTGTTTCTTGGGAAGGAGCGAAGTGTTTTATTTTGTCTTTTCTTTGTATGTAATTAAAACATTTTTGTTGGATTCATTAGTTTTTTTTCCAGATATGGTTTGGATTCTTATTGTGAATCGGAGCAGGAATTTGACCCTGGACCTTTACAGTCCCTAACTGCTGGATCAATGGATATTCCTCCATCATTTCTTTGTTATCTGGACTACCTTTTGTCCATAATTCGTTCATGTTGCAAATCATTGAGTATCACCAAAATGTCGCCTAAAGGCTTCTTCTACAGTTAGCTTCAGAGTCTCCATGTTTCAGAAATAATTTGAAATTCTAACCTGATTTCAGTGACTCTAAGCATATAAACAAGAAAATTCTGAGTTTCCTTCAACACATCATTTGTTTTCATCATAGCTGCATCCTCTACCTTTTTTGCAAAACTTTTAAAAATGTCTTTTAGAACACTGTGTTTTCAAGGAAAATTTATTTTCTACAAATTTGTGGGCTTTAACATAAAAAGGACTCTAGTTATGAACAAACACTTTTAACTACCCAACCAGCCATTACTGTGAGATATTTTACTTGGATATTTTACGTTCTATTTCTACTGTCTGTTTCCCCTAACCTATGAATTTGTTAGCATGCCTTCTGTTTTCATAAGATGGATAAAATTGTTTTACAGATGTTATGATTTGCATTTACTGTATATGCAAATGTACTAATTTAAATTAGTTGAGGATATGGCTTTTATAAACAGAAACCAAATAACTTCTTACAGTTTTGTATTTGCTTTCTTTCCAAGCAAATAAATGATTGAATAGCAGGGGTTTTTTTTGACAGAGCCTCATGCAGGTTTTAGAATCGCTTTCAACATGTTTGATACTGATGGCAATGAGATGGTGGACAAAAAGGAATTCTTAGTGGTACGTATATTTTCAGTCTTTGAATATTTTGATGTAATCTTGAAATTCATTTTTTTGTCTAAATTGAGACTCATGATGATGTCAATAATCATGAGAACGCGAGCTATTCTTCACTGACTATAGTTGTTTATTTGCCTTATTTAATGTAAATAGTAAATGTAGTGTAAATAATATCTCCTTACTGCAGTGCATGGGTGTGTTTTATATAACGATATTTGAATCTTAAGTCCAGTTTTTATTCTGGATCTTTTTAATTGCTGCTGCCTTCACAGATAATTAGGCCGTTAAAGCAATATGGCTATATCAATGGTCAACAGAATTACTTAATTGCCATAATGATGGAGGGGCTTGTGAAAGAATCTTTTCCTGGGAGACCACTTCATTTTGTCAGTCAGTCATCTTATAATCCCAGATGACCTGAAAATATTGACCGACATAATGTAACACTATCATCTGTTTTGGACAAGATTTGTAACGAAATAAAATGTACTGTACATATATCTAGTTCAGCCCATGAAATCAATATGCTGAAGCAGTTTTCTGAGTTGGGGTTCAGTGATTTCTTGTTAAGGAGAATATTCCTGATAGCAAAATTGACTTTGAGCTGAGTAATTTTCATGTGCTTTGGAACAGTTGATGGGACACCTAGAACTTGGCAGTAGTTTTGTTGCATCAAAGATTTTGTTACATTACAAATCTGAGTTACAGTATTTTTCAGACTAGAGCATTACTCAGTTTATTGCTTGAAAAAAGAAGTTCTGTGAATTCTTCTTCACTGAACTTTCCTCAGTTCTTCTTTTCAAAGAACTGATACACAACCAAGTGAGTGATATCTGAGATCTGGGGGACTTGTTTTCTGGTAGCATAGCTTAAGCAGGACAGGTCTCATTTATTTTTGAAGCTGTCACCACTTGCAAATTGTGACATCATTTTTTGTATTCTGATATTAAATGTTCACATTCTTATATTTGCATCTCCTACGGTTAGGGGAAGAAGCCAGCAAAGATTGGATTAATTAGTCAAAAGAAAAATAGAAGAAGGAGGAAAAAAGAAACAGGAAAAAAAAAGTCTTTCATGATTTCATAAAACAGAATGTGGTGGAATAGATCGACAACGTCCAACGCAACTGCTAAGTGGGAGGAAATTGAAGCAGGAAGCTTTGTCTTTCAGAAACTGATGCTTCAAATGAAATCAAATAAGAGTATAAGGCAGGAAGCAAGGACAACATTTAACTATGGATATTGCACCTTTCTTTCTAACTATGCTTTTATAGTCTTCTTCACGTGCTGCTTTTTATTTGTTCTCTGTCATGGTCCCTGATAAAAAGTTTTCCTTCTTATTCTTTTCCTGTTACCAGACATGGTGGATAGAAGAAAAAAAGGAGAATTTTCAAACATTAGATACACTGTTCTCCACCAATTATTGTATTTAACAAATTTGTATAGATTAAACCTGACCCTAAGTCTGCTTGATTACTACCCTTCAAAAATTAGATCAAAACCCATAAGTCAGAATGCTAGATCTGAAGTGAGAAGGACTAAAATAGATAGGTAGGTAGGCAGATAGATAATGCCAGTTTAAGTAAAAGTACATAACGAAAATAAAAGTTGAGTCAGTGATCCTGCAGCTGTGATAGACCTGGCCCCAGAACATACATTTGGCATCTATACTCACCTTGCTTGGTTATGCTTCATCTCCTGTTTGCCTGGAAGCAGGAGACTGTAAATGTTCCAGCTGAACTATATCCAGCATTTGCAAAATGCTTCTCCACTGATTACAGTCATCTATCATAAAATTGGAAGTATTGCTAATACTATTCAGTTTTGCAAATAAAGAGACCTTGAAGAGATTGATGTAGGGATCACCTATGTGATTATTGAAGAGTACGTGTAGTGAAGAGTTGAAAAATACTTAATTTTTCTGATAACAGCTTTAGCGTTTTTGTAAACTAATTCCATGGTGTTTGTGCTTTCCTCTTTGCTTATGTCATAAGGGTGAGGTCAGAGAACAGAGGGATTATTTTCCCTTGTTGCAGGAGATCTTGTTTTCACTGCTTTCAGCAGTCAGTCTCATTATCTTATTTCAAACAATGTTCCTATGAAAGTACTCCTAGATCCTTTTTGCATTCACTTTTCTACTCACTGGTATCCTATAGCACTCCCTCTGAACAAAAGATCCATTTCCAGTTTAGCAAGTGCTTTAATGATGAATGCAACAGAAACCTACTCCCTTTGCCTCTGTGGCAGGGGAAATACATCCAAGGATGCCTTGCTTTTTACCAGTCTTTTTCGATTTTTCAGTTACTGCCACTCTTCTCTCCCTTTTGATGCCTTGTCACTTTACTTTTCACAAGGTATTTTCTTTCTACTTTTCTCTCTTCATTTACCTTTCTTCTTTATATTGGGTTGCAAACTGCGTAGTACTCTAGGCCGTCCAGCTAGATGTCCTATCATGACTCTTCTTGTCAGCATAGGTTACAGTAATTTATGCCTGTAGATTTTTAAAAATTAGAAAAAACATACCAAGGTTTGTGAATTGATCCTGTACTCAAAAATAGATACAGTGAAACACACGATATTCTGGTCTGTATTTGCCTTATAGGCAATTCCAGAACACAGTAGTCAATTTTGGAAATTCGTAAAACGTTATCTATAAATGAATTTGCTATTTAATTGCTAGACTGTGTTCATTTATTCCAATGTTGTTATACTTTAACAGTAGAGTTTGCTGATCCCTTTGTCTTAGTCATCTGCCTTCTCTGAAATATGGTATTCTGAAATTAAATTTGGAAAATTTACTTGCAAAATTTATCACACACGTTCTGTCTTTCCCATTCTGATCCCCAGGGAGTTCTCTGTGCATGTCATTACAGTATCAGGTTTTTATCAGGCTTCTAGTAGGTAAAATCAGGTCTCTGAAGTGACTGACACAATTGTGTCTGAATGCCATGATATTTGGTTCTGAAAATACCATATACTAGATTGGACAAATTTGTCAGCCATAGTGTTTATTCTTTTTCCAGCCCACTTTGATATTACCAAATGCTACAAGTTGCAGCACAATATTTTCACATGCAATTTTTGAAAAACTGAAGATCAGTGTAGAGATGTAGATGGCATCATAGTTCATACTGCTCTCTCTTGCTGTGAAAAATAACAGTGACACTTTTTTCTAATGGTTTTGGAATATTAATAAATATTACTATAAATAAAAAAATATATATAAAACAGATACTTACAAAAAAGATAAGTACAGACCTGTTCTTACTCTGAAGACTTTATAATTTCCAAAAATAAATATGCTCAAGAATCTGTATGTTTTAAATCTTGTATTTGAGGTTTTCTCAGAAGTCATGTTTAAAGCTCTTAATGTAGTGAAAGTTGTGAAAGCGGTATTTTACAAGACCTGAAGGTATTCTTTGAACAGACTTGGGGGAAAAAAAAAAGGGTACTTGATAAATTACTCTTGAATAGTAGTTTGTTGCTGATAAAGGGGAATGTTTCACCCCCACCAGGTGTTTCTACCCCTCCCTTGCGCCAGCAGGAGTATGAACTGATGTGGTTGGAAGGTAACAGTATGAAAAAAAGATTGATCCAGCTGACCACATAGCCACACAGATACTAATTAGTACCCTGCAAGAAAGGATGTGCCTTGAGGTGGTGAAAAAGGCTGGAACTCCCCATTTTTGTATAGGCTGGATTGGCTAAAATGTAAAGCTAAATAGGATGTTCTTAGTATTGTGCTGCCAAATAGAATTATTAGCCTTACTTTGTGGAAAAAATATTTCCTTTTTCCCTTTAATGTGATGGTTAAGGTCACAGAAGGAACATGAAGGCATGAATATGAACAATAAAGCATCATTGAAACAATAAAGCATCATTGAAACTGATATTTTAGTAAAGAACTACATTTTAATACTGTTTGCAGTGTTGCTCACAATGAATGATTGTTATGCATGTGAAATAGCCTGAAAACTAAGTAAGAACGAAAAGACTTCTTTTTTTTTAGCTGCAAGAGATTTTCAGGAAAAAAAATGAGAAGAGAGAAAGAAAAGGAGACGAAGAAAAACGTGCAATGCTGGTGAGAAAAATTAAAAACAGTTGCAGTTTGTAGTTGGTTTGTTTTCTTTGATGCAGGACAAAATTGTGTGTGTATATATTTCACTAATCACTTCCAATTTTTTTTTAAACAATACACTTGTATCATTAAAAGAGTATGCATTACTTTATATATAGAAAAAAAGTGTTTAACCTAAACTGCAGCTGTTGAAAAAAAATAGTTAAGTGGTCTATAGAAAGGAAAAATTAATGTTTAAATATTGTATCACATATTATGACAGTAGCATTGATTCCATTTGGAATCTATAAATCTAGGAAAAAGTGAATAGTAATGACCCAGTGTTATTGTTAGAGTAGTATCACAGAACCATAGAATGGTTAGAGTTGGAAGGGACCTCAAAGATCATCTAGTTCCAACCCCCCTGCCATGGGCAGTGACACCCTCCACTACACCAGGTTGCTCAAAGCCTCATCTAACCTGGCCTTGAACACTTCCAGGGATGGGGCATCTACAACTTCTCTGGGCAACCTGTTCCAGTACCTCACCACCCTCTGAGTGAAAAATTTCTTCCTTATATCTAATCTAAATCTGCCCTCTTTCAGTTTAAATCCATTGCCCCTTGTCCTATCACTACATGCCCTTGTAAAAAGCCCCTCTCCAGCTTTCCTGTAGGCCCCCTTTAGGTACTGGAAGGCTGCTATAAGATTGCTCCAGAGCCTTCTCTTCTCCAGGCTGAACAGTCCCAACTCTCTCAGCCTGTCTTCATAGCAGAGGTGTTCCAGCCCTCTGTAAGGCTGTGAAATAATAATAATAATAATAATAATAATAATAATAATAATAATAATAATAATGCAAAATGTTTTTAGTTGTTTATATTATCCGAATAGATTTTTGCAGAATATTGAATACTCATTCTTATATAATGTCAAATTTGCATTTCTTATATGCGTAAGAAAGGTAAGTCAGAAATAGACAAGTCTGTGGTAGTTTGTCTGGAGGATGGCAGCAGTAGCAGGAACTTCTTTTACTGTTAAAATCAGATCTTGGTCAAGCCCACAGCAGAAAAAAAAAGGTTCATTTGTGTATTTATGCCAAAAATTCCTTATTGTAAGAAATATTTTGACATCTCTGCAAAGCTTCTCATAGTGCTCATTATCCTTTGGGACCGTAGATGCTTGATCTCACATCTTTGTCCCTGAAACCATAGGAAGTTTGAATTTCAAGAATTAATACTTTTTAAGCCTTTGCTGAGCATAAAAGGGACCTTTTCTTCCCATCCAGAAAGACCTATCCTTCTCAGCTTTTCAAAACTGTAGGTCAATTGTTGAATCTATCACACACTGTTTATTCTTAACAAAGGAAACTTAGACACAAAGGAAGAGCTTTTGGAAAAAGTAAAGATTACAACATGGAACATTTCTCCTCAGAGTAATCTCTGCAGCTCTTTACTTCTCTTTTGAAAATTTGAAAAATGAGATTGAATATAAACCATTTTTTCTTCACTGTCATTTTAAAAGCAAACAAATAAACTCTAATAATATAGAAAAGAAAGATTTGCTTGTCTTAACCTATTCTGTTGTCTTTTCCCCCCTCCTCCTCCTTCCTTTTGACTTCATTCTGACATGTGATACTTGGCTTGGCCCGTTTTTGCTGTATGTCAGCGTCTTCAACTTTATGGATATCATACTTCTACTAACAGTGTATGTACTCTGTTAATTAATTTTCAATTTATGCAGTCTTCACCAGTGAGATGAAATAATATGCTATAAGAAATTTACTATATTTATCTTTTTCATCAAGTAAATTACTTTTGCTAATCAGTAAAAATGTGATGAATCTTTACTTGCGCAAAGGTTGTGCATGCTTGTTGTGTGTGTTGTGAAACAGGCAATTCTACCAGGAGAAACGGTTTCTCTATTTTTGTAAAATGAAGGAAACGGTATTTTTAGGGGAAAGGACAAAATATATCTTAAGAAATTATAGACTTATTTTCATTAACATATGTAAATTAAGTCATCCTGCATAAGTCATTTGATCCAGGTCTGTCTTCTCCCCTCGTGTAAAACGTGAAGAAATAATTAGTCAAATGAATCCTTCACCTCTTTGCGCCGCGTTCCCCTCCCCTCCCAAAAAAAAAGAAACCAGAAGAGAGCATTTGTATTTTTCTGCTTCACTTACAGAACAAATAAATAAGAACTAGAATAGAATTTTGGAGAAAATAGTCCCTGTATTATGTAGATGACAGTAAACTTATTTTCAATAATTTTTGAGGAGTTTTACAGCAGAAGTAAAACTATTGTAAAAAAAAAGACTGATTTGCTGTTAAAATAGAAGAATTAAACTTGTTTTGGTATGATTATTGTGATATTCAAAGTGAAGGGAGGGAACCTACAAGAATTAGATGACTAGTGAAATTCCAGTTTTAAAGTCTGTTTCTTTATATAATAATTCATGGGAATGCACAGATTTCTTTCCTGTGAAGTTAGCACATAAAATTTGGGCAATTGAATGAAAAGGTGCAGTGACATGATCTAGATGCTGCAATGTTGCGAGAATAATGTAGTAGGAAATAGGAGGCCTTAAGATTCAAGGGATTTTAGATCAGGCTGGTAGATCAGGATTTTACATCAGTGAAAGATGCTGTGCAGTGGTTGCCATATCCTTGTGCTGTCTCCTGTTTAAACTGAAACCAAACTAGTTAGGCTTTCTTACTCATATAATAATTCTCAGCTTTAGTAAAAAATCTCCTTCTAGTCTCTAGCCACATCCAAACTCTTTATCAGAATGGTGCCCAGGTGCGCATCGTCCTTTTCTGCCCTCCTGCTACCTGAATGGAGACCTCTGCACAAAGTAAAGTCAGATGTATAGGAATTCACAGTATCTACCAAATACCCCACCACAGAAAACTAGTATTTTGGGTTTCTCTTTGTCCTACTGAAACAAGAAGTGTAGCAGCCTTTTCAGTTTCCGTTGATGTCCAGGGGAGTTGAAGATACTCAAGACCAAGGAGATGCAGCCCTGAAATGTCTGGGGTAGTCCAAAGTGCTGTGCCCTTCTCCTCACTTCATCATTTGAAAGTTTTAATTTTTTGAGAAGTGTCAAGATCTGTAAGCCATAGAGTGCATACAATGATGTTTTACATAAGTATTTTTGTCTTTTCATTTGCATAGGTTGATTTTTTCAAGTCCTGTTCTGGTGCATACTGCAGTATTAGGACTGCTTCAGCATGTATTGCATGAGTGCTTTCACTGGACAAATGCCAATCGGAACATGTTAATTATGATGAGATGCATGTTAGGAAAATAAAACGTGCATGCCCCGAAGTACTAATTCCATTGGCTAAAGTAAATCCTCAGTAAGAGAACAAATACAGTGAATACAGATTGTATGCATAAAAGAATGAGGTGTTGTTCATTCACATGACCCAGTAAACATCAAAGGGATAAATAAGTGCGAGAGAAACTGCTGAGGACCTAATTCTGTACATACCGAAGTAAACAAATTTATCTGAGTTTAGCACTTTAGGACTAAATGGAGTTATATGAGAATACTGTGACCGCAACATAGGAACTGTTACTCCATAATATAAGAAAGATAAAACCAGAATTTTTCAAAAAGGAAACAAAAATATTATATACATTAAGCATTGGAATAATTCCTGGTAGTTTGTCATGTTTCTTTGATGACAGTTTACAGAAAGAGCTGAGTTGAATTGGTTAGTGGAGGAAGTACTTGTAGAATAGAATTTGTAGAAGCATTAAACGTAATGTGTTGTGTAATACATAGAGATGATAAACCTTCAACTCCGTACGGTATTTTTTATGATAACAATGTGATTTTATGTATTGTGCAGCAGTCATATCAGCGTAAATCTTCTCAGAGAACAGTATGTGCTGAGACAAAAAAAAAATTGTTTTCATTTGTAGTGAGAAATTAAACTTATTCTATCTTTGTCCCGTGTGCCCAGATGGACATGAGCGGGGAGCTGTGAAAGTAGGAGACCTAGTTTAGATTAACTTGTGGAGAGAAAGGGGAAAATTCATTAATTTGCAATAAAACTTAACCAAGTTCAGATAGCCTTCTGCTGTCTTTAGGATCACCTCCACTAGATTCTTTGGGGAGAAAAAAAAAAGAAATGCATACATCTTCCAAGACTAGTTGCAAGTTAAAGGAAGGCCTGTTTTAATAAGGGAGGATTTTTCAGGCTTCCAAAAATGAAATATTTCAGAGCAAAAAGGTAAGCATATTTTCCTTGGAGAGATTAAACACTTTTTTTCAGATTAAAGAAGGTAAGTTTGATCATCAGACGTGCACAGTGTTTTCTTGATAAGGATGTTACAGTTGAAGTTGGACTTATTGGGCTTGGTTTTTGCATTTCTTTATTGATGGAAGGATGTCATTATGATTATTGGATGAAATTAATTTTATAGAACTAGTTGTATGGTGATATTTATATTTTGACCAATGAGAAAACAAATTTCCTAAGTACATAAATTGACATCTTTTTGGCAAAACAGAATTGTTAGAAAAAACAATAGCAAAGTACTGAATTTATATGGACATTTTCACATGTAGTTTTAATAAATATTTTGAACTTATGCTTTCTCTATTTTGTTTGGGAAATTGGGAGTCTGGTGATACTTTTGGCACAGCCAAGTTATGAGTAATAGGCGAATAGCTGTAATAGACCAGTGTTCCTTTCATTTACAAAATATCATGTAACTGGGTAGAAATTTATCTCTGTAGATGCAAAAGCCATGCTTTTGAAGATCAGCTGGAAAAGACTTTAAAATCTGTAAGCAGTTGTTTTATTATTCTTTGATATTCAAACAATTGTGCTTCTTGAAACTTCTGCAGGTTCTTAAAACAGAAGGAGAGGACCTTGTCCCCAGAAGCTATTGGGATACTTTGAGACGTAGCACAAGCCAAGTGCTCTTTTCCGACCTTGCAGAGGTATAAGACAACCTCTGTCTCTGGTCCGTAAACAGACTGCCATTTTATTTGTTTCTGTTCTGATTGTTTTCCTGTTTGTACACTTTGTTTCTTTTCTTCCTTTTAATTACTTTTTTTTTTGAACCTGAAGTTCTCAGATTAAATGGATTTGCTTCCATGCAGTGTGATAATTCAAAGTTGTCATTTCCAAGTAAAAACGAAGTTACTTTTTGAAAAAGTGAGAAAATCAAGTCCTCTTCAGTCCTTACTTTCTAACACTGATAGTGACAATATTTCACGTTTAGAGAAGTAATTCAGGAAACCTTTGTCATTTAGGCTTGGTCCAGTTGTATGACAATTTTAATGAGAGTTGCAGCTTTTTAAGCTTTTAATCTTTAGGTCCTTAATGTGTTTTTAATGTAAGTTATCAGAGCTTATCTTCACAAAAACAGTATCATGCAAAGATTATTTTAATTGGTGGATCAAACTAGGAATGTTTTAAGGTAACCAAAACATTAGTCAATCTTTTAATATTAACACAATCAGTAAGGAGGACTGGCAATATCACCAAGCCATCAAATTAATTTCCATAGTTCTTTAAATTCTAATAAGATTCTTGTTTAATTATCTGTTTACAGATACCGAATATATGAATACCGATATACGAATATAAACAGATACTGTTTACAGATAATTAAGACATTTATTTGTATTGATCATTTAAGAGGGTCAGAAAACTAGATCATTTAGGCTTTTCTGTGCCCCATACAGTGAGGGTGATTTCTCTGCTGGTTGTGGCATTAAAGGACATAGAGCAACTCCCCACTGACTCTCTGGTCTCAAGTCCCATGCTTCATAAGCAGGATCATAATGAGAAATGAACAAGGAACTGAAATGGATCTCCAGGGTAAAACAATGTTTTTCTTTGCTTTGTAAGCAATGTATGCTTAATATTAAAAGTAATTAGTGTTTTGTCCCTGCTGTTCCTCTGCAGAAGCTATTGAATAACCCAAGGACTTGGATGGACTTTTTCTAGTTTCCAGGCTAAATTTACTCACGGTCCCTTTATACCAGTCTGTTGTCTCTTTGTTTTCCTAAGGCTTTTTCTTCTTACTTATGGTTGTGTTTATAAACTCATTCATAGCCCTCAGTTTATATCGTAGGCTAAACAAAACAAGGTCTTTGATTTTTCTCTGAAGGTAGAACCTGCATTTCCCAATGCAGATGTTTTTTACATCTGATGCCTCAGACTAGTATGTGTAACTACAACGTAATTGAAGCTTAAGAGCAGCTATACTAAACATTGATTTAAATTGTCTGTAAAAAGTACAAAAAAGTCTCGCCGCTCACTTGTAAATCATTTTATGAAGAAAAATCATGTCCTGCCTTTGCTCCAGTGACTGTTTCCCCACTTCTCACCATAATCATCTTTATCTTACTTGGGTTAAGTTTGAGCCAGCTGGCTTTTGTCCATATTCTTATCTCTCCCAGGTACTCTCACATCCAAATAATATTATAGCCATCTGTACTAAGAAAGTGACATAAGGCTAGGTGACACTGGAGTCTGTGTTGTTTCATAGCCTTTTGAGAAGGCCTTGTGTAAGTTGAAAAGGAGAGTAAATAAGGTTCATTGTAGTGGGAATCAATTTACAAGTCCTCTTTAGGGGGGAAGGAAGTTATTCATCGCATCCAGTTTCTTTCCAGGACAGTTTACAGTACTGTTGCTGCTATTCCTGATTTAGCAACTACACCATCCTGTTGGAGTATGGTGGTTATCACTGAATTCAGTTTGTGAGTTTATTCTTAAATTACTAAATGAAACTGGAAATCAGTAGATTTATTATCACTATTGAAAAATCAAGGACTTGCAGTAAGAAAGCTCTTATTAATTCAAAACATAATGTGCATACTTCATTCTCAGAATATGTTGCTACAAGTGGACCATCACTCATGAGTGGAACTTACTTTCAGTCAAGCCTCTTTAATCAAAAGCTTGAAATTAATTTTGCAGAATATTAGAAAAAAAGATTTTCTGCTCTTCAGGATAGGAAATTGAGAGGAAAAGATGTTGCGGTTATGCAGCAAGCCAGTAACGTGGCTGAAACACTTGTCTCTCCTGTTTGTCTCTTTGCCTGGGTTTGTATTACAGTTAGTGTAAAGAGAAACGAGGCAGGGTTTTATTCTCGTTTAAATGACTGCAAAACATATTAGATGAAAATAGAGTCTCTCATTTGTATATGTGGAAAGAAGTTAATTTTCACTGATCTAAAATACAAAACTCATTTTATTACAAACACCAAATAATAGTTTTAAATTACTAACTCTTTCGTTTTTATCCTTACCCCTGAAGAGAGAATTTATTTAATGCTATCAACGCAGGAGCACAGGAGTAGTTTTCAGTTGCCTGCAACTCTGCAGAGAAGCATACTGGGTTGAGTTTCTAGGTTGAGGTTTTTGTTTGGGGTTTTTTCATTTAGTGAGGCTGACCAAATGGGAATTGTGAAAAGACTTTCAGATTGTATTTTTTTTAAATGGTTCTTTAGATATGGGTGAATGCAACCTAAGTCTAAGGTTCTGAAATGTTTTTGCAAGATGAAAGGCTGTAATTTAACATTTGATATCTTTTCAGTGTACTTGAGGGAAATTGTTTGAATCTGCTTAGGGATTTAATTGCTTAAAAGACATAAGAAATCAGGGTATCTGCATTTCAGTATATTGTGTCCTGTAGTGGAGGATAACAATATTAAAAGACAAATAGTGATTACTTTTCTGAATTAGTTTGCTCACTTGAAGAGCAGAGCTGTCTTAATTGAAGGACATGAAATATCTCTTACCTATATATACACTATGCCATCTTACTTCTCCCTGGAGAAGAATGTGAGAATAAAGAGGAAGGTAGAGTACATGAAATACAATCTTGAAAATCCTAAACTGATTGTACTGAAGTACAGAGAAGTCTCTCATTTCTTTAGTTCTTGGACGTTGAAAAGAAAGGATTTGTGTTGTTACTGCCTCATGTTGTTCCTTCTTGTTGATACATAAATACTCTTACTGGATATTGCATTTTACATTTTTCACAAATCAGTATGTAAATTTGAAATTAATACAGTATATTTCAGAGAATGTAGATACAAAATGGTTTTTCTTGGTACACAATACTGAACTACTGCCTACTGTTCAAAATTTCTTGCTAGTTTTTTCCTTTAGTTTCTCCATCTGTTACAAATTTATAGCCTCTTCAGTTATGAAATAAAGTCAGACTTAAAGGACTCGATGCAGCTTGCAGGTGTGTGCATGCAGATCTTTATAGATCTGTATAAACCGTTTTCTATATTTGCAGTAAATCCTATAGGCTTATAATCTGTCATTATGGTGATAAATTAGTACTGTTGCATCTCCCAAATACTTACTAGATTTCTGTACTGTGTATTCTGTTTTTATTTGAACAGTAGAGTTGGCAGACACACTTCAACAAAAATACGGTGTTGCTGATGGATGGTAGCTTGCCTAGGAAGAGCAGAGATTACTGGCTCCCACTCATTGCTTTTCATAAGATCTTGTCTTTGTAAGAAAAATGAGAGCTCGGACATAAGGTTCTCCCTAGGCAGGTGCAGCAAGGAGGCTAAATTTTTAATTTCAAATGTTGGCAGATGCACATTAATGGCAGAAGGGTATTGCCATGGCAGATAATGCCTGTCTTCCTATTTACAACTCTTGCTATTTGAAATGATCAAAATTAGTTGGTTTTACTGTTCTAATGCTGTGCCTTCAAAGTTTATAGTTAGTTATTAAGGAAAACATGTTAGTATATGTTCAAAGACTCCTGTCTGATGCAAAAACCACATACTCGGTAGATGAGGAACGTTCTTTAAGAGAACGAGTCAAAATATTACTTCATGATTTCAAATTTTCTTACAATTCTCTTGTTTTAAATATATCTGGGCAATTAAACCGTAGTCATCTGCTACTTAGAGAAAAGAATCATATAAAGTAGACCTGACTGATGTGAGTGGTTTTGGAATACAATCTCATACTTAATAATTTTGAAATATAAAATAAGAGTATATGAAGTAACATCCTTTAATTTCTTTGTAGTTGAATAGTGGAAGCGAAAGGAGATTGTGGACAAAGGGAGTTATTTTTATGGTTTACCTCAACTGACTAGAACCATTTTTTTTCCACAAGAGTTTCTGGTTTTATTTTTCATGCTTTTTCCTCCTTCATTGCAGCTTCCATTATATTATATTGTTGTTTTAAGTCTTTTCTACTAAATGCAATTAACAGCCTAATGCTATTTCATGTGAAAATTGCATGACTAAATTAATTTAATGGATTGTAATGCTTTTTAAAACTGTGAACATTAAACACAAAGTCTTTTAATAGAAACGTCTATTGTGATGATAGGAATTCACAGATTATACTTCTGTAATTGATCCGATCATGGCCTTTAATTTTTTTTCTTCTAATATTTAAGCGTGCCGATGATATTTCAAGTTCACTGTCAGATACTACACTGCTTGTACACTTTTTCGGCAAGAAAGGAAAAGCTGAACTGAACTTTGAAGATTTTTATAGGTGAGTCTCAACTGTATTAATTCCTTGTAAAAAAATCCTTGCATGCTTGTTTAATTAATGTGTATTATATTACTATACACACAGTTTATGCAGACATGTATATGAAATTTAAATTACCTTCGTGTGTATTATATATACAAAGAGCAAAATAAAGGAGTAAATGGATCAACAATAAAAAGTCCTGTACTATTGCTGCTGCATTTGCAAATTTTGTTAGCACTTTTGGGTGTGTAGTTGGTTTGAGATGGAGGGGTTAAACCCCAACCCTGTCCTTACTGGTATGTAGGAGCTTTTTTCTTGGTTTTGAATTATTTTTATTTTTTAACCTTGTTTGTCAGTGCTTTAAAAAAAATTTTTCGTGTATATCTTTGCTCTTAGGGACATACTCAAATGTAAAGATTTTTCTGAAGATACCATGTAGGCACACTGAAAAAAACAGTGGAAGCTATTGTCTTAATTATTATGCCAGTTAAAATAGAATTTTAAAATACAGAGAGAGTGCCATAAAAACAGAGCCACAAAACTGTATGTTCTGTGTGATTAAAAGAGATACAGTGTTTGGTTATTGTTTCCTCAGTAAATACTCCCAATACCTATTGCCTTTATGCGTTCTAATCACTCAGATGTTTGGAAAATATTTTGTCTTAAAATTATGTATGTCATGAAGAGTATTTAGTGTTTCACATAATATAAAAACCATGTCATCAAGTGAAATCATGATGTGAGTTCAAAACAAGAACCAGAAAAGAAGGTACTTTTTCAAAAGGCACCTAGTTAAAATGTCCATCTCTTGCTGTAAGGTGTTGTGAATGCTAAAGAGGTCAAATCCTAGTAGACATATTAATGAAAAAGGGATCCATCAAGTTTTATTCAACACTACTTTACCAGCTCAGAAAATCATTGAAGTATGGACTGGTGAGAGAAATATTACTGTATGTTTACCTTGTGCTTACACTGTTGCCTAGACATTCTTTTGATTTGAGATCCTCATAGTTCTTAGAAGTTAAGTTATGTATTAGGAAGGAGTGTTGCAGACAATGTCTACAGGATGGGAACTTTTGGGAACCTGTAACAGGGAAGTGTTACAGATTGTGGTTGACAGTCAGATGAACATGAGCTCTCAGTGCAGTACTGTGGCCAGTGAGCTAATTTCATCCTTGGTTGTGTAACTAAGACATCAAGCAGAATTGGGGAAGTTGTATTTCCTTTTTATATGTAGCTGGGTTTATACTTTATCCAGTTTTAGTGTCCAGAATATATTAAATATGTTGTTAAGTTGGGAAGAGTTTATAGAAATATCACAAGAATAGTGAAGTATTAAAAAGTTTTGATTGAGAGACTGCAAGAGCTCATCATACATAGTTTGTTAAAAAGAGAAAGGTAAGGTTTAATCGCAATCTGTAAGTAACTATATGGGGAATAAATTTGGGGAATTCATTTAGTACCATGATTGAATTTTCAGTCTAGCATATAAAAATAAAGATCAGTGACCCACTGAAGAAGAAAATTAAGGAAATACAAGCTAGAAGTAAATTAGAAATTTAAGTATTAAGTAATTTTAATCCTTACTAAAACACTTCATCTTTGAGTTAAGATTGTTGTGTTGATTAGAAAATATGTCAACATAGATAAGAGATTTACCAAATTTACCATCGGTGCTACAAAAAGAGAACTAATTTGTATAATGCTATTTGTCTGTATGTTCTATGAGTCTTTTAAGGATATGAATAGTAGAAATATATTACTATTTCTTCATATTTATGTTTGTGTTTTAGATTTATGGATAACCTACAAACTGAAGTTCTAGAGATAGAATTCCTTTCCTACTCTAATGGGATGAACACCATAAGTGAGGAAGACTTTGCCCATATTCTTTTGAGGTATACAAATGTGGAAAATACATCAAGTTACCTGGAAAACATGCGCTGCAGGATTCCCGAAGAAAAGGTAATTGTTTAGCTAGGACAAAAGTGGGCCACAGCATCCAATCCCAGTGTCATCAGGATGAAAACGTAGCCTTGTTGGACTGAATGAGATTCTGTCACTGAATTAATTATTACCAGGATTTTATTTTGATCATAAGGTGTGTGTCTGATATTTTTCAGATTACTTGCTGAATAAAAAGCAGTAGAGTAAGCAGCATAGAATTATGTTCTGTAGGATTTACAGAAACCAAATGCAAGGTTCTACATCTGGGTCGTGG